CTGAGGATTGAAACATGGGGGTCCCTGTATGCTTGCCTAAGCTTGCTTAAGTGGGCACTTTAGACCACTGAGCTATCGTGCCAGCTCCTACAAAGAAATTTTAATTAGGCTCAATCTCCTTTAGCATCTGGAGGTAACAATAGAACATACTATAAAGCTTTTTATCTTAATTCTGAAGATCACTTCTTTGGCTACACTGTACATCTATTCCATCACCTGCTATGTGAACACTATTTTTTTGTTGTTGTTTTTTTTGGCGGAACCGGGGATTGAACTCAGGCCCTTATGCTTGCCAGGGAAGCGCTTATTCCACTGAGCCACCTCCCTGGCCCCTATTTTTTTTTTTTAATTAAATGTATTTAGTACAGGATCTACAGGGTCTCACTACACAGATCAGACTTGTAGCGATCCTCGCTTTCAGCCTTCCAAGCATTATTACAGGTGAGGGCCACCATGCCCAGTCTCAATCATTGTCTCAGCATGCCCCAGGGTCAGGGCCAGCATTGAATGCTGGGGATCGAACCCATGCATCTGCCTGTCAGTCCCTGCATCTGCCTAAGCAGGCTCTTTAACCCGTTGAACTATCTGGCTAGCCCTGAAGACTGTATTTATAAGTAAAAAATGAAGCTCGTGTTCTGGCATGCAGTTCAACCCAGACACACACTGCCTCCCTTCTAGAATGAAGAATGAACAGGCTATCAAAATGATCAGCTCCTTTAAGCCCATACAAATGCATCCTTTATTGGCCACTTAATAACATAATGAATAAAATAAGCTCTTGGAACATGGCCCAAAGGACGGCAGAGCCACTTGTCAGGTAGCAGATGCAGAGCTCCTGTCCAAGTATACTGAACTCTCCACTGCTTAGTTAGAAACTGCGCCTCAGCTGGTAGCACCATTTTTTAAAAGACTGTCACTTCACATAAAATCAGAATGTTAAGTGGCAATACAGCATAAGGCCAAAGAGAATGGATTCTAGCTCCATGGCCTATGTCTTCAGGAAAGGCACTTAACTACTCGGTGACTTCTAAAACCTCATTTATAAAATGGAGTAATATAAGTATCTGTTGTATTGGCAAAGGCTATTTCAATTAATTAACCAACACATACTGCCTTGAGCTCAGTAATCCTCCTGCTTCAGCCTCCTCAGTGCTTTATAGGCATGTGCCACCATACCCAGGAGACAAACACTTATTTTTAAAGATTAAATAAAGACACCTAAGTTCTTAGAAAAGTGACAGGTACAACAGTAGTCCTCCATGGATGTTAGCTACTAGTATTACTTTAGAAATACAATTATTTAATATTTTAGACAATTTGGGAAGCATTTTTACTGCAGATGTTAGTACAAAAATTATTCTTTCCATAATAGTTATTAGATATCAGTCACATGCTAGGTACTGAACAGCAAAACAAATCAGTCTTGAAGGTTTCTAGGGCATCAAAATTATTGGATAAACATACATCTCTAGCTCCATTTTAAGGCAGGGTGCTGGAAAGATAGCTCAGTGGCATTAAGTGTCTACCAAGCAAGCATAAGGTCCTGAGTTCAATCCCTTGTTCTAAAGAAAGGAGTCTATTTTAAGGCAAGGTCTCACTTCATTACCCAGAATGGCCTTGAACTTATGGTCAATCCTCCTTTTTCTCTGGCTTTTGAGCAGCTGAAATCACAAGTATCAATGGTTTTGTTACTGTGAAATTCCAAACTTGGTCAACAGCTATGCAGGCATTTCAAAGTATGTGCCAAATTTAAATTGTGATAGGCTGTTATATAAACACCAAATTTCTTTATTTTAATGTATTTAGTACAGGGTCTCACTACACAGATTGGACTCGTAGTGACCCTCCTGTTTTCTGCCTCCCAAGTGCTGGGATTACAGGTGCGCATCACCACGCCCAGTCTCAGTCACTGTCTCAGAGGGCCCCGGGGGCGGGGCCGGCCCAGCACATGGGGGATTGAACCCTGGCCTCTTCACTCTGCCTAGGCAGGCACTGTAGTCCACTGAGCTATCTGGCCAGCCCTTAAATACCAGATTTCTTTCTTTTTTTTTTAAATTATTTATTTATGTATGTGTGTGTGTGTGTGTGTGTGTGTGTGTGGC